TTCGAACTTTATGGCAGGAAGTCCGTCAACCAGATTATTCTTCACAAGCTTCTCTATATTTTGGAAATTTAAGTGAGACAGCTTGTGATGCCAGAGCCAAGCTTCTTCACACTTGCGAAACACGAGACAGAGAGTCTCTGAATTATCTCTTGGTGAGAAGTTCATGAGATATAGATTTCCCTTTCTTTTGGCTCTTAGCAACTCCTGACCTGATTCTGACATAATGAAGCAAGCTTCCTTTTGGAACTTGACATTGTAGCCAGAATCACATAGTTGACGTATGCTCAAAAGATTATATTTAAGCCCAGAGACATAAGCAACCTTAGAGATAGAAACCTTACCTTGTAGAAGATCTCCATATCCCATTATCTATCCTTGCATGTTATCCCCAAAGGTGAAGAGAGCAACCTCTTATTGTCGGTCATGTGTCTCGAGCATCCGAAGTCGAGATACCAAATATCCACATGCGGCTTCTGCAAAACAAATTATAGGGAATTAGGTACCCATTTCATAATGGGTCTTTGATGATTAGAGATAGAAGATTGCCTTTTAGCTTTAGGGAGAGGCTTCGTCTCATCACCTGAGTTACCAAACTTGGCTTTAGGAGCCTTCTTTCTCTTCTGGGTCTTCTTGGACTTTATCCTTGATGACCCAGAGAGAATACAATTAGGATCAGAGAAGTGTTACTTTAACTTATGCAGCAGAGAGAAACATTCATAATTATGAACACATTTTGAATGACAAAATGATTTATTTTATTTGAAGAACATATTATTACAATCATTCCTAGCATTGGTAGTTCTAACAAACTTCCTATCTAGATCTGATTGTTTAGACGACTTTGAATGAATCTTCTCAAATCTCTTTCTTCCTACTCCTTTGGCCTTCAGAGACCTCTCTAAAACAGAGGAATTAAAATTAGAGTATGCAGCGGATTATCCCTTTTGTTTTGGAGTGAACTTAATTGGCTTAGATTTTAAAATTGAGCCTTTCGAAGCAGAGGAAACAGACTTTGTACTCTTTGCCCTGTATTCAAACTTGGGAGCGGATTTAGCACTTGTTGTCATGCTTATACGGCCAGAACCTAAGAGAATCTTTTTCTCATTAGGAGGTTTTGCAACCTTTGGTTCGTTGGCTACAATCTCTGTCTCAACTTGCTCCTTAAACGAGTCCACCTCTGACTCAAAGTCAGAGTCAATAAAATCCTTGTGTGAATATCGAAATACAGAGGTATCATTAAGAACTTGAGATTCTCGTATGCATGAGATAGAAGCTTCTTCCATATTTTGTTTTGAGGAACTTTCAAAAGTATTCGAGAAGTTACTCTCAGAAGAATCTGCATGACCTTTAGAAGGATAATTCAAGGCCTCAAGCAAATCTTGCTCGAAAACCTGTCTTATCGTTTCTGTGAAGTCATCCAATAATTTTGGATCCAGAGTTTTAAGAAAAAAAATTGTGGATGAACTCTTGATTTCATCTGGTTCTGGTTTCACAACCCCACTATCAATCTTAAGATGTTCAAGATTTGTAGAGCCAAAACAAAAGATCTCGTTTGTCTTCTGTATGTCTTTTAAATCAACTTGTGGCATACTCTTTGAAGAATAAGAGATATATTTAAATTTTAATCTTTGAGTTTTGGCCCCACTCTCAAGCCTACATCTCTTGAAAGGTGAAGCTGTATACAGAATTGGAAAATCTGGTTTTTGTTTGTCACCTAACCTAAACACAGATTAAGAGTAGTTTTCTTCTTCCAGGTGAGGTCTAGGTCTGTATAACCTATCCCTGCTCTATCCTGTTTTTACTTTTTCATACACTTGCTGAGCATCTTGATATTTCTTGATCAATAGCTCTTTTCTTTGTAAGCTCTGGTGTAAGAACTTCATTTCCTTTTGAAAATAATCTTTGAGGGCCTCAGAGTTTAATCTATCACGTTCCTTTTCTAAAAGCTCTGTTTCTTTCTTCTTTATAATCGCTTTTAGTTCTAAGCACTCTGATTTAAAACTTGTTTCAGTGGATCGTTTTGTTTGCAAAAGTTTTTCATTATCCATTGATAACTCTTTGTTTCTCTACAGTTAGCAACTCTGTCTCACGTTCAAAAAATAATTTTTCTTTTTCCAAAGATTTTCTTTTGGATTTTTCGACAGAGAGCTTTTGTTGTACGTTAATAAAATCGTTTGTCAAAGCAGAGATGATTTCTTCCAGGTCAAAATGAGAATAGCCAGAGATGGAACATACCTGGGAGTCGGAGTCAGATCCAAACTCTTCACTGTCGTTCTCAACAGCCATCCCACAAAAATGGGCTTGCTCTTCTTCTTCCAATGAGTCAGAGACCCAGCTTCTGTTCAACCATGAGGCTCCTTTGAGATCGATTGTACTTGTACTTGTTTTTGTAGTACAGTTCATCTTTCACCAAAGGGCCTCTGCACTCTTTGGATTAGTGCCCCATTTTGTCGCATCTGAAGCATCAAACACCTTGCTTCTTCTGGTCTGACGGCTCTTCCTCCTTCTTGTTTAAAACAGAGGGAGGGTTCCTTCCTTCGAAAGCTCTGCCTCGACTGCGGTTGTTCTGCCTTCCTCGCTTATCAAAGACCTTCTTCCCAAACTTTCTTTGGAATTCCTTGGTGATCAGGGCCAAGGATTGTGCAAAAGCACTAATATCATCATCTTCAGAGCTACATGCTCTGTCTTCTTCATCGCTCTCCATGATGAGAGCCTTCTTTCCTTTCCTCCTTTCTTCTTTGGATCTACGCTCTCTGTGTGGCTGGCTAGATCCTGTCTCTTTTGAATCAGAGACAAGAGCCAGAGGTCCACCCAGAGCGACCTTGGCTTTCTGCACTTCTTGCTCTTGAGCTTGCAGAGTCCCATATACGTCGTGCAACGTCCATTGCTCCAGATCTTGATTTGTCTTGAGAGACATTGTCAGGTTTCCCTATTCTGCATTCAACCTCTTCAAGAAGAACATGTTGTTCTCCTCTTGAGTTCTGATCACGTCACATTTGCGACACTTATTGATCAGAGTATTGAACCTATGATAAGTCTGTTCTAAAGACTCATCGGGTAGCGCCTAGAAACTGTTGTACTCGTTCAAGCATTGAGCACGACGGTTATTCTTCATCTTTATCCCTCCTTCTAACTGATCCAGTTGATCCCATAGATCCTTGGTAGAGTCGTCAAGAGATTGAAATATCTGATTGGGAAGTGCCATGATCAAAAGCCTTTTGGCTTTCTGATCCACCTCCACTCTACATTTGTCTTCATCGTTCCAATCACGACGAAGTTTGGGTACTCTCCTAGCAGGTACTTCAACCGTATCACCAGCAGCAGGAATACGAGGAATAATCGTGGTTAGGACATATGGGTCGTTTAAAATTGACTCGTAAAGTTCGAGGTCAAGAACCTCATAAAAATTTATCATCCGAATTTTCCATGGGGATATTCTTCCCTAATGAGAGTCGGAGGTTTGGTCAAAGAACCGGCACTATACATGGAGTTCCATGATTGAGATGACATTTTTGAATAAAAATTTTGAGAAGAAGACTGACGAGAAAGTGATGAACGACGTGAGAGATGATTTCCAGATTACGTAAAAGCAAACGTTTTAAATGGAGTAAAAATAGGAGTGAAATTCCTTTTTAAAACAAATAATCAAAAAGAATTAAGAGTAGAATCCAGACGGATATTGATCGACTAATCAATGAATTTGATTAGCAGGCTCTGATACCAATTGTTTGAACCCAGATACTCTTAATTTAAAGAAAACACAGTTTATAAATAATAAGAATGAAAACAAACAGTGTATCAAAGATGATTAACCGAAATATTCAATATATATATAAGAACACTGAAGAGACTTGAATATGTCGAATGCTTTTATTAGATGAAAGTAAAGAACAATCAATCTAAAACGTAATCTCACAATAAACAGGTATAGTATAAGTCGGCACTCTCAGGTAATTTGAACCTGAGGAGGAAGCCTCCTTATATACGCCTAGGTCTAACAACTATGCTATAAATCAAGCTTGAAACTCTGAGTTGCCGAGTCTGCATCCTTATCTTTGACTTCCCTTGAAAAGCAGAGCAGACTAGGTCAAGTCGCCTCAAATCTGTTAGACGCTTGCGAAAATGTCTGGGCTTGCACGCGCGTTCCATGGAGAAAGTGACCAGAAGCTCTGCGTGTACTATGCAGAGGTTCTGCATATGCAGAGGCTCTGTGTCTCACTCGCGGTCAAAAAATGCATGGAGGGCTTCGTGGAGATGAGATGTAGGGATGGAGATCGCCGATGATGGGAGGGGACGCCGGTGATGAAGTCGCTCAATGGTTCTGTATGAATATGTATAATTATGTATAAAAAATATATAACAATGGCAATTTATTTTTTTCAAAAAAAATTAAGAGGAAAAATAAAAAAGTCGAAATGAATTTGAGTTAAACGGACAATCTTTGAAGTAAACTAAAATGAATTTTGATTGCTTTTTTAACATATATTACTATTCATAGAAACAACATACACCTTTTTTTTTTTTTTGCTCGAACATTTGTTAAGATTGTCAAGACCTTAAAACTGTTTATAAATCTTAAATAAAATTGGGTTTATTAATACAAATGTTGATTTTGTTTTGATACAATATAGCCAAAAACACAATGCCAGCCTTGTTTTGATTTAACCCTAATGAAATTAATTCTTATATTTTCATCTTAAAATAAATTTGAGTGTTTTTAATCAGATGCCATCTTATAATATATTCAATATATGTTTATTTTTGGATTTTTTTTTCAAGACACTTAAATTTAATGATGACACATGTTAATACATGTTTTTAAGTGATACAGATATTGACATTTAAATATATAAAAAAAGTCATAGTTAATTTGATTAAAATATAGGAAAAGAAAATCAATAAAAGTAAGTTTTACAACATGCAAATATTACATATTTATGACAGGTAACGGCTCCACACAACGATGCTACATCAATCCACCGTGTCATTGCTTCTTCCACACAGATTCAACAAAATGCCTTTCGCCGGAGACCGGAAGCACCGCCGGATCCTTAGGTCTACTCCTCTCCTCCCTCACAATCTTCATAACACCGGACAATCTCCGGAATCCACTTTCTCCGGCGCCTCCTTCTCCGGAGCCGTCTTCAACCTGTCAACCACGATCGTCGGTGCTGGAATCATGGCCCTCCCAGCAACTCTCAAGCAGTTAGGAGTGATTCCTGGTCTCATTGTTATACTTTTGGTCGGCATCTTGACGGAATCTTCGATCGATATGATACTTAGGTTCAGTAGAGCATCTAAGTCCAACTCATACTCCGGCCTTGTTGGAGACGCGTTTGGTGGTGCCGGAAGAACGCTGTTACAGGTCGGCATTGTCGTTAATAATGCCGGCTTGCTCGTCGTCTACATGATCATCATTGGTACTGACCAACGATTTCATTGCCTTAATTTACGTAACCGTTTTTGCAAATTTTCTGAATTTGTTTCCTGTCGTCCATCAATCTACCGAAATGCAAGTTTGTTTGCCAAATTGATCTACAAAATTAGGTTTTCATGTTGCCAGACACTACGGCACATGAGTCGAGCTATTAATTTCTCTCTATTCTCTTGTTTGTGTTCTTTGGAGAAGTATCTTCAAAATCAATTCGATTTCATTACTTTATGAAAAATTAAACGCTTAATCATTTATGTCATGAATCTCATGAGGATTAATCTAGCTCATTTATTCTGTATTTTACAAAAATGGTATACCCTTTGTCAAATCAATGTATCATGTGATGTTTAAATATAAAACATTTTACATGTACGAGTCATGTAAATAGATTTGGACACCACCAACACGTCCTCTACAGGGGGTCGGAACTAACTTTGATATGCATATTCCTTTCTTCCTAAAAAATAGAGCAAATTTACAAGTGGCATTTTTTGGTGACAATTATAATGGGAAGAAGTGGCCCAGTTTAATAGATCAATGGTTGACTTGCTTCAATCGAAAAACACAGGGAATCATTAATGTTATGCCCCTGCACACTGCAACTTTTCACATTTATGAAAATTTAAGAGGGATAATAAGTGATTAGGAAGATTAAAGGAATAGATGAGGAACTTTCTTGGGAGGGAGTACTCATCTTAGCATTTGACGTAAAACTTTTGTGATTTAAAAGGTCCTGACTCTTGTTGACAGGTGATGTGCTATCTGGAACATGGTCAGAGGGGGAACACCATTTAGGAGTTATGCAAGAATGGTTCGGTCATCATTGGTGGACCACACGTTCTGTATTGCTGCTTCTAACAACCCTCCTTGTTTTCTGTCCTTTGATATCCTTCAAACGTGTAGGTGAGTTTTGCCTACTCTTTACTCACTCACATGGACACACCCATTACCTGAACACATGCATGCTCACTCTTATTTTCTATGTTCCACTGCAACAAAGGAGAGCCATTAGAATATGTAGTCTTTGATTATGATAGGTAATTGCATGCAATCAAATTGGCTGTACCTGTATCAGAGTGCCTCACTATCGATAAAATTATGATATTTCATGAACTTGGAGATTTTTTTGTTTCTTTTTGTGTGAACACTAGGCAAAGCAACACCTTAATGGTAATTAATAAACACTTCTCTTCTGTAAGTAAAAATGACCGGTTTGTGATGTTCTGTTGATTGATGTCAGATAAGAGAAAGTGGTTTCTGCACATGGTTAGAGTTGATGCCTCAAATTACAATGTAAAAAGCTACTTAATCAAACCGGCAACAGGTCTCAGATTTTGGATGTTTAGGCTGTGCCATTTCCTTTATTGATTTAGCTTTGGACTAGGTCTAATAGATAACACAATGGAGTTGTCTAGAAAAGATTGAGACGAATGATGGATATCAATAAAGTATTTCGGATTTTATGTTGGGCTTTTATGTCAATTGTAAGCTTGAAAACTAGTGAAGTTAGGTCAGCTTCTTCTTCCTTCTTCCTCATGATTCAATAATGCCTTATTTCGAAACAGGAGTAGGTAAAATATATTTTGAACTAGTCATTTTTAGGAGTGTGGTTGCTGAATGATTGTAGTTCAACCTTTGAGTTTATTCAACCAAGTGTTTCATCGAGGATGATGACCTACAGATTATGACACGTGTGAGAAGAAGCAAGTTAATATGAGAGTCTTTGGTTGGGAACTTGTGAGCTAGCTACATTTGCTTCAGGTGGTAGAGAAGTCATTGAGAGCCATCATAAAAGGGTGAGAGAACTTATGTTTCCATTGGTGCTGAGCATCTTAATCATGATCAGATGATGCCTTTATATATGGTTGTTCTATTTAACTTGTCCATGATGACAGTTATGAGAGAAGGTATGGTGGTATGTTTGGTGGTCATCTTTAATTGCACCCAAGATTTCATAGATAGTTGTAGGGTCTTGAATGAAACTGATTAATTTATTTTGTTAATGCCTTGGCACATTAGAAATATCATTGGGAGTAAGGAGCTCTCTAATCATGGAATAACAGGCTACTGGTTGCCCTTAGATCCATTAAAGTCATCATTAAAGGAAAAAGCCTTGAATCCTTTTTATGGGCAGAATTGGAAAGACAGTGAACTCCCGGAAGTAGTTGTAGACTTAAAATAAAGCCAAGTAGATTGATAGCAATTGTTTTCTGGTTAGATAAGATCATGTTAAATTCATGACACCAGGGCACACGCAAATGCTAAGTTTGATGGTCGACAAGCTTACCTTACCTGCAGGCATCCAGAAGTTTGTATGGTAACATGATTAGTTTTAGCTAACAAAATTGTGGCAAGAGTAGTTGGAAAAGGAGAAGATAACTTGCAAGTCACTGTTGGAAGAACATTCGAATTTAGAAACTTGTTTGATGCTCTTCTTCTGGGAGCAGGCTAGGTTCGCTTTCATTTATTCTACAAAGACCTTCCCGCTTTATTGCCTTGATTTATTTTCTAAAACATATAATCAATATGGAATTCAAAATTCCTTAAGAGATCGAGAAAGATATTTAGAGTTCGTTTCTTTAGAGAGCATCCTTTGTAAGATTGACACGGAAACAAGAGAATTTGGATGACAGCAATAGTTAGTTATGCTGCAGCAATGTAAAGAAAGCGTGCATAGTCTATGAATTTTGAAAGAAAGCGTGTCCTGCAGCAAAGAGAGGAAACTAGATGGTTTGTGCCAAAATCAATTCTTTCTTTAACTAAACAGCTATAGAAGACTTTGACAATTTTAATAGTTCTGGATGACTGATAGCGAAGTAATACTGTAAGGGTGAACATGAGAAGAACACCCATTTGGGGGGGGGGGGGGGGCATTAATTGGTCTACACTGCTCCCTGAAGAATACCTTAGTTAAAAAGAGAAATCGTTGGTCAAACACACAAAACTCCAATAATCTAATTGTTGAATCACTTGGGCTCTGTAGTAAATCTTAGCTAAAAAATAGTTCTATTAAGTAGTGTTTCTACCTAATCTGCTGGTGCTATCTACCTGAATGACATCAAATGTAATCATTTTCTTCAATGTTCTACATCTTAAGGAAATTTACATCCTATTGCAATACAGAAAGATACTATAAAAATCAAAACTTCAATGTTAAAAGGTCGATTTTCTCTTGAAAAGTATGTTTTGCCCTTTCAGATTTTAGAAATTGCAATGTTAATGAACCTTATTAACATCGAATCGGCATTTGTTGGAAACTAGTTGGGATAGGGTAAAATTGAAACCAATGGAAATCTTAAAGAGATTAATCCCCTCCCGTTCAGAGACAAAAGGAGCATCCTTTTAAGAACTTCTATCTAAGGCCAACCTCATTGGTACATTCCATCCACTGAATCTCCGTTATTACTTCTCTGAATGTCAAAACCTTGCTGATTTCGGTTTCTGTTAATGAACTTCTTGTTGTACAAGTCTTATCTTTTACTTGGGCACTAGAAGTCTAAAATGTTGTTGTCTCACAGAGTTCCTCGCCTTTTTTTCTCCTCTAGCATTGGCACCGCAATCTTCAGCATATCATTGTTTCTAATAATATCCCTTGGTGTGTGGCCAAACATCCACCTCAGCACCAACATTTTTGCTACACTCATCTACGTACATGTTCTCTTTTGTTAAAGTAACAAAAAGAACCAAACCCAGTAAATCCCAGGCGAAGTGGGATCTGGGAAGGGTAAGATGTCAACCACGTAAAGAGGTTGTTTCTATAAAGAACCCCCCGGCTTGCGAAAAAGTTTCACGAAAAGTAAGACTAACAACTGCAAGAAAAAGTTTTGTGAAAAGTTGACCATAGTGCGTGCAACTTTCCCCATAAACCATAGTACGTTCACTACCATCCTACCGTTCCATGATATGTTGTCATTACATAGCTTGTCTCAAGCAAGGATGAAGGTGTGTGGTTGACAAGCCTTGCCACCCCGACCATGCTTCTAACTGTTCCCGTGAAATACTTAAGAATACCTGTACTCAGATCCCAACTTACTACAGCGATTAAATAAAAAATCAATAATTGGATTGATATCCAATGTGATGCCGATATGCAAAGGATTGCACGTCACTTGTTAAAAGAAACTGGATTTTTGTTTCATATAGATTTGACATCCACAATATTCCACACATCCATCTAGCTACCATGAATTCCACTTAGCAACAGCATTTGAGACATGCTTATTGCTTGTGATGCCTAGGTGAGAAGTGCAAATTAGAACAAAAAGACATCCATTATAATAGTTCTACCATTTGTTTTTCACTCTATCCGTTAAGTTTTAGCTTTTATAACAATGACTTGCTTAAGTTCTGGATCATTTGCTGCATGCATCCTTTACTTGTCTTTTTATGTTTAAAATATATCATAATCTGACATGTGCTCATCTTTCTTTTGTTTAACAAATGGTGCTAGATTCATTAAGATACACATCAGCCTTGTCGGTGGGTTTAGCAGTTGTTTTTGTGGTGATCACAGCTGGAGTAACTGTAACTAAATTAATCAATGGAAGTATTGTAATGCCACGTTTGCAGCCTGAGCTTGTTGATCAGGCATCATTCTGGAAGCTTTTCACTACTGTTCCCATACTGGTTACTGCCTTTATCTGCCATCACAATGGTAAGATGGAGCTCCAAAACTTTTCAGATTATTTTTTGCTTTATTTGTTTAGTACTGAGATTTTGCATGCATACCCGTGTATCTGATGCTGTATCATTAGACATGGCTCATAAGTTGTAGAAGCAATTATTTCATTTAGAGCTGTTCATTTCATTGCTTGGAAGGCGCATTATGTTACTTGTGTATGTTTGTGTCAGTATGTAGTCCTCCATCCATCCCAAAATGAATCTGCAAATTCAAAAGCGGACTCTTTTTTCTGGGGTGAAGTGCATTACGAATATCTCTTCTGATCATTATCATGTATCTTTTTTTTTCCGTTTAAACAATATACAATAAAGAAGATGTGAATCATCTTTTAGCACAATTCGTGCTTACCATCGAGAATGAGAAACCTGGTTTGAGATTTGATTTCTGCTTGTTTTAGCGGACATTTGTGCATTCAACATCTCTTATTCAACTTTTTGTGATATGCGAACATATTTCTTGCAATACGAGTCTTTCTTATGCTGTTTCTTTTCATCTATATTGTTGACTGAAGTTCTGAAGGAACGTTGATTGAGCTTATTTGATTGCATATTTATGACAGTTCACCCAATCGACAATGAGTTAAGAGATCCTACCCAGATGAAGTATATAGTTCGGCAATCAATCTTATTGTGTTCCACAGTGTATGTAGCAACCAGCTTTTTCGGATTTCTACTCTTTGGTGATCATACCCAGGATGATGTACTTGGGAATTTTGATGGTGATCTTGGAATCCCATACAGCTCACTGATTAATGATGTGGTTAGGATAAGCTACTGCCTCCATCTGATGCTTGTTTTCCCGATTGTGTTCTTCTCGCTGCGCCTCAACCTGGATGGGCTTTTTTTCCCTTATGCAATCCCTATTGGTTTTGATAATAGAAGATTCTTGATGGTAACAAGCTTTGTGATGAGTTTGATTTATGTTGGAGCAAATTTTGTACCGAGCATTTGGGATGCCTTCCAGTTTACGGGTGCGACAGCGACTGTGTCGGTTGGTTTCATATTTCCGGCTGCTGTTGCCCTAAGGTATGTAAACTTGTGTAAAGTTGCATATAAGTTAGTTAGGTTTGGGTTTGTATGTAATGAGTATGGATTGCAGGGACAGTCATGGAATTGCAACAAAAAAGGACAGGAGAGTGTCATGGGTGATGTTAATATTAGCTGTATCATCAAGCATGGTGGCAATCTGCAGTGACATTTACAGCTGCTTCTTGATTCATTCATAAGAAAAGAATGCAATCTAGAAGTGTAGATAAGTTGTGATGAATGGAGGCTGCTTTGCTTTTGCTTATCAAGTGAAGGTATAATTAATTGGTGGTGGTGGATATGAAATTTTGTTCCACTTGTAGCAAAATGATATTTTTCCAAAAGAAATAATAGATTAGTTATGAGTGTAACTTTTTTTTATTAACCTGGATATCCAATCCGCTATGCAAATCGACTAATCCCAGGGCAACCATTTGCTTTGCAGATAGCCAAGATTTGAACCTGGTACCTCCTGGTACTTTTAATCTTTGGAGCCAAGTTCAAACTAATCAGTTACTATCCTTGTGGTTAAAAGTAAATTGGGAGCCAATTTGTTTGTTTCACATTCAAACTAAACTCCCATGAATTTTATTCAACTCACCCTCACCCATATAAACATTAATAACATTTAGTAAAGAGAGCATATTATTATCATTATTACCCCACATGTTTATGTTTTTTTAAAACAAGACAAAATAATATATATATATATATATATATATATATATATATATATATGTATATATATATATAAAATATAAAGAGAGAAAGGTAAGTTATTATATAATATTTTAACATGTACAATCAATACAACTCAATCTTAACCGTTCATTTAATTTAATGAATATATGATTTTATAAAAGTTTTGATTGTTTTTTACTATAAAATATTGATCATAATTAATGAACTCGAATTATTTTTATAAATATTTATAATAAACGAACTTTTGTTACTTTTATAAATATTTTAATTAATTTAGTTGTATTGATTATATAAATAGACATTATTACATATGAAATATAGCCTCTATAATATTGGTTTCATAAAACAAAGATATAAAGAAAAAGAAAAAGAAAATTGTAAAAGGCAGAGGGTAGATATATACGTCCAAAAAAGTGAGATTAAAATATAATTAATGACCGAACACCAAGGATTAAAGTTACTTGTATTTGAATTGAATGTAATGTAATATAAACTAAGTCCATCATGACAATGACTTGTTAACTAATCATTAAAAACTAAATGATTAAGGTAGTGGTTCATTATGTTGCAATTAGGAATTAATTATTAACCATTTATATTTATATTTATATAAATTAATTTTCAACTTAACAAACACCCTCTTTTATAATATCGTATATTTACATGTTATAATTATTTAAAATAATAATAATAAATTAGAAATTACGTGGAAGAATGATAGTGCCACCACATGACACATGTCACTCCATATTTATACCTCAAGCGGTTCTAATTCCCTTTTCTTCTTATCATTACATTTCAAAATATATATATATATAAACATTAAAACCTGAGTTACTTCTCGTACCTTCATTTCCTCTTCTATTTTATGTATTTATCTATCAAATTCTTATGAGTTTTCAAAAACCGTCTTAAAACTATTTTTTGAATGAAAAAATTATTATTATTAAATTTTCTTATTTTTATTGATTTAAATTTTTGAATTGTTTTTTTAAATAAAAAAATCATTAAAACTTCACATTTTAAATTATTAAAAGGTTGGTTTTTTTTAAAATAAATAAATAAATAAATAATTAAACCACCTACATAGCTATCTTCTATATTTAATTAATTTCAATCCAAATTATTTATTTAACAATTGATATTCACGTGACGTAATTAAAAACCCACCTACATCCCAAGGACACTTGTATTCCCTTCCCCTCTCTTTATTTCAAACATTTTTTCACTTTATTTATTGCATTTTCTATCCCTAAGCCAACCCTTCACTTCTATTTCACCAAATACTAGCTACTTTTAATTCCTTGTTTTCTTTTTACATTTTAATATATAGCAAACTACGGTTTTTGTCCTTCTCTTTTGTTGTTTATAACTATTTTTGTCCATGTTCTTTAAAAAATGATTTTTTGGTCATTATGGTTTGCAATTCCTTTCGCTTTTCGTTTTTAAGACTAACTTTATTGAGAAAAAAAAAAAAGGTTTAAGTTATGGGTAATTTTGTCCTTTTACCTTTTTAGTTTTTCTTTTAATTTTTATTAAACAAATCTCTTAGGTACAAACATATACAACCACTCAATCCACCGGACCACCCCCTATGCTTTCCTTCTCCAAGATTCCATCGTCGACTTATTGGCTTCCCTCGCCTCTCCTTCTCCGATGCACCATTAAGAAATCCAAATCATTTTCAGAAGCTTGAAACTTACAAACCATTTTTAGAAGCTTGTAATCCGTTTTCAGAATCTTGAAACCATTTCCATAAACATGGAACTTGAAACTCAACCCCAAACTCATCTTCAAAAACTTGAAAAGCAAACCCAAACCCAAACCATCTCTAAAAACTTGAAAATTGAATATTTTTATCTCATCTATCAAGAGCATACTGTATCATAGATTCAAAAATTAAACATAAATCAAAAGCATACCCATTTTAGGTCTGAAGCTTCTGAATGAGGTTAAGTGTTCTAGATAAATCAAACGGAAATACCATATTAAATCGAAGCTTTTGAATCAATATGAATAAAACCTAAATCCACATCACCACTGCCCAACTACCGCTCCCCAACTGAACAAAATGGAAATGGAAATCGAATGTATATTGAAATCGAAGCTATCAATGTTAATCACAATTGAAACCATCAATGTAAATCGAAATCGAAACTTTGAATGAATGTAAATAAAAAACCTAAAATCAACATAAAATCGAATAGAACTCATACGGTTGTTCATAGAAGATTAGTTTAAGATCTTAATGGTGGTCGGTGTCAATGGATTCAACGTCCCATGGCGGTTACACCCCATGATTGCATAGGCACGTATCCGGTGGTTGGTTGCAAGTTGGATCTGCTAGCCATGTGCCCGTGGTCGCTATAGAGGGGAGGGGGAAGCGTTTGTTGTCATAGGGGAATTGGGAGATGGGGATCCGTACGTGTTGGACGAGATCCATGTCCATTAGTTCTCGAGAGATTGTCCCTATGGTTTCTTCCTCATTATAATCATCAGATAAATCAGACCTTGAAAGCTTCGTACCATGTGGTTTGGTCCTCGGAGTAGAATTTGAGAACAAGGTTGAACATCGAGATCGGAGTGCCGGAGTGGTACAAAAAGGAAAGCACGACAACGAAAAAAGCAATTTTTAAAGATGAAGGACGGAAATCATTATAAACTACAAAGGAGAGGGACAAAAATCATGTTTAGTCTTTAATATATTAGCCATGATATGGTAGCATATACTGAGACATATATAAAGATAGAGTGGGGTTGAAAGGCACCGAAATCCGAAAGGACAAAGGACAAAGGCAATGGTGCGGAGTCTCAAAATGTACAAGGGGTGATACTGAATATTATTAAAAGAACCAAGGTGAAGGTGAAGGTGAAGGTGAAGGTGAAGGTGAAGGTGAAGGTGAAGGTGAAGGTTACATTTGATTTGGGCCACCGCTTGTCTTATTTCGCTTACTTTAAAACAATAATGTATCCTTCTTCTTTTTTTATTGTTAGTGTATTTAAAAAATAACAAATAATAATATATTATATTATATTTAATCTTGAAAAATAGGACTCGTTAATTTCTGTTTAAAAGGAAAACAAAGAAGAGATTTTACATGCATGATTTTGTTTTCGAATCAACATATTTACTTTGAATTTTTCTCATTTATAAATTATAATCATCGCCATCACGTCTCTCTCCCTTTTCTTTTTTCAATTCACCGCCGATTATCAGTTTGGCCCCCTAAATCATATTTATTATGGATTTGCTCCTTGCCATTTTCAAATTGTTACAGTTATGGTCCCTCAACCAAATGACCATCTATTATCCTTCTTAACTACAACCCCATTTCAGTTGTTTTTATATTCTATGCAACGAACGTTCATCTTCTCCACATCAACATCAACACCAACACCAACACCCAAAATTATAAATGAACCAAGAAAGCAAGATGATTTAGGTTGTTGATCAAGCAAAAAAACCATTGTCAAAAGGGAAGGCGGCCCTGAAGTTTCCTTAGTTAATTGAGTTAAGCATAACTTTTGTAACAGTGTTAATCAAAGAAACCATGACCGTAACAAACTAATACCATTGGGACCAAATCCATCATAAACGCAATATAACTCTACACATAATTTTTATTTATCATAGATCAGGGACCAAATCTGTAATTTAGTGTTTTCCAATTTCAATTTACAGTTTGTAATGCAAGCTGTAAATGAAATGAAGGAGCCCCTTTGTTCTCATCTTCTTCTTTCTTCCAACTTTATAGTCTTCTTGTACTACTACTCCCTCACTCTCTCTCTCCAAACACAGACATGAAAACATCCCTCATCTCTTGGAACACAATGCTGCAATCTATCTTTATTATTTGATCCATCATCATCGTCTTAATTTCATTCCATTTCTCTATAGATCATAAATCTCACAAACAAACATGTCGCCCACCTCCTTTGATTGGTGGAGGAAAGAGACACACAGGGGGACTCCCGTGGTCGTCAAGATGGAGAACCCTAACAACTGGTCAATGGTGGAGCTTGAAGCCCCATCTGAGGACGATTTCTTGAACGACGGCGTTTCGTCAGACGTCAAAGGCCGTAACAAGAACGCTAAGCAGCTCACGTGGGTCCTCCTCCTCAAAGCCCACCGCGCCGCTGGCTGTATCACCTCCATTGCCCCAGCTACATTCTTCCTCGCCTCTGCCGTCCGCCGCCGTCTCTCCTCCGGTCGCACCGACACTCTTCCTACTTCTACACGTTTTTATTCTTGTATAAAGGTCTTCCTTTGGCTTTCCATTTTACTACTAGGGTTTGAGCTAGCTGCCTATTTTAAAGGTTGGCATTTCGGAGCTCCGGATCTACATTTACAATATTTGTATACATTAACAAACCCATTTGCGTTCAAGGGTTTCTTTGATTCAATATATTCGAGATGGGTTGTGATTCGGGTCGAATATCTTGCTCCTCCGCTCCAGTCGTTAGCAAATGCTTGTATCTATCTCTTCCTCATACAGAGTTTGGATAGATTAGTGCTCTGTTTGGGTTGTTTTTGGATTCGTTTCAAGAAGATCAAACCCCTCGCCAAACAAACCCTACCCGATCTTGAATCCGGTGATGGTGATGGGTTTTTTCCTATGGTTCTTGTCCAGATCCCCATGTGTAACGAAAAAGAGGTGAGTTTTTCTTTTCATAATTTTTAGGTACCCGCTTGTTAATTTCTGTAAAAATGTCCAATTGTATTTTCAAATACGGGGTTTTTAACATTATTGTGAGATTTGTATCTATAAAAGTTTGAATTTGCTTAGAAGCTTAAATCTTCTAACATTCTTTCAAACTTCATAGTAGCATTTGGTGATTTTGCTTTCATATGTATGTAAATACGACTATTCTGTATTGGGTTCTGAACAAGTTTTTTGAATTTCGAGTAATTTGTTTCTGTTTGTGTAGAAATCTTGGATATGTTATGATAGGGTTCAAATACTTGAAGTTGAACTAACATTTTACCTTGTGAATCAAACATAACCAGGTGTATCAGCAATCAATTGGGGCGGTGTGTAATTTAAAGTGGCCAAAATCAAAGATTTTAATTCAAGTTTTGGATGATTCTGATGACCCAACAACGCAATCTTTGATCAGAGAGGAGGTTCATAAATGGAAACACGAAGGTGTGAATATTGTTTACAGGCACCGAGTGAATAGGGAGGGGTATAAAGCTGGTAATCTCAAGTCTGCTATGAATTGTAGTTACGTTAAAGATTATGAATTTGTCGCCATCTTTGATGCTGATTTCCAACCCAATCCCGACTTCCTCAGAAAAACAGTTCCCCATTTTAAGGTACCTGCTCTTTTTATCTATCGATGTTTGTTTGTTTGTTTAATTTGTAATCTGAATCAAGTAAGAATATGATGGTAATTTGTAGGATAATGAGGAACTGGGATTGGTACAAGCAAGGTGGTCATTTGTAAACAGGGATGAGAATCTGTTAACAAGATTGCAACATGTTAACTTAGCTTTCCATTTTGAGGTGGAACAGCAAGTTAATGGGATTTTCTTGAATTTTTTTGGATTCAATGGGACTGCCGGAGTTTGGAGGATTAAGACTTTGGAGGATTGTGGAGGATGGTTGGAGAGGACGACGGTGGAGGACATGGATATTGCTGTTAGAGCCCATCTTCATGGATGGAAGATGATATTTCTAAATGATGTTGAGGTACTTGAAAAAGATTTGGCTCATTCTTTATTGAGATTGAGTTTGTTTTAATCTTTAAACTGTTGATTTTTTTTTTCAGTGCCAGTGTGAATTGCCTGAATCATATGAAGCTTACAGGAAGCAACAACATAGATGGCATTCTGGGCCAATGCAGTTGTTTAGGCTCTGCTTGCCGGATATCATCAAATCAAAGGTACCATTTTTACTAGAGTCTTGGATTGATTTTTTGAAGCAAACTCTTGGAATTATTCAGATTTTTACAATTTGACTTTGTTGTTGAACGGTATGCAGATTAGCATTTGGAAGAAAGCAAACTTGATATTTCTATTCTTTCTGCTAAGAAAACTGATCCTACCATTTTACTCCTTCACTTTGTTTTGCATAATTCTCCCAATGACGATGTTTGTGCCGGAGGCTACTCTTCCAGCATGGGTTGTTTGCTACATCCCTGCCACCATGTCGTTTCTGAACATCCTCCCATCTCCAAAATCTTTTCCCTTTATTGTCCCTTACCTCCTGTTTGAAAACACAATGTCTGTAACGAAATTCAACGCGATGATATCAGGGCTTTTCCAACTAGGAAGTGCATACGAGTGGGTGGTGACCAAGAAATCTGGACGGTCCTCTGAAGGTGATCTAGCAGTGTTAATTGAGAAAGAAGAAGAAAAGGGAGAGGGTGAGTTGGTAGAAGAGGTGAAAGAGAAAGAGAAAGAGGAAGAGAGGAAGAAGAAGCATAATAGGATATATAGAAAGGAATTGATGCTGGCTTTTCTTCTGTTAACAGCTTCAGCTAGAAGTCTTCTATCTGCTCAGGGAATCCATTTCTACTTCTTGCTGTTTCAAGGATTGTCGTTTTTACTGGTTGGGTTCGATTTGATCGGTGAGCAGATTGCTAATTAATTAATCAAAATTAATTTGAGTAGATATTGTTGAACCCAGAATTTGAACTGTAACAACTTTGTATTCTGGGATTCTTTTGTTTGTTTTGGGCAATTCTTTTGTACCAAGTGGGGTTCCACGTTTATTAGCTGAATCTTGATGTATATTATTTAGCAGCTTAATTTAATTTCTTTTACTCTATTCCTGATTATATTTATGATCAAGGTTCTGAGTTTATAAAAGGTTGAGCACAGTTTGTATAAAGTAAGAATTTGGTAATGATATAAACAAAGCTAGCATCATGGAGGAAAAATGGACTTATCATGGTTGTGTTGACTGTTGAGTGACCAAAGTAGAAGAAATGAAAAGGAAAGGAAAAAAGCATTGTTTGTTAGGATGATATTGTTGAGCATCAGTTAGTTTCATTTGATTAATTGAAGTATGAAACAAGACATTTGAGAATAATATAGGTGAAAATTGTTGATTCCCAAACCAAAACCAAAACCAACCAATATTAATTCATTCATTAGTTACAATCCAACACTCATAAAAACTTCTTCTTGTTTAAATGTACATGCTGCTTCTTCACTCATCTTCTGCTAAAACTCAGTTAGGAGCTGCTGCTGCTGCTGCTGCTAGCTATACAAAAAGAAAAACACAAATGCTCTTTCTTTCTCATCATTACAAACAAAAAGCATCTCTAAACATCCATCTTTGCTCCTCCTCCTGTCAGACACAAACACAAACACAAACACATCCCATTAATCTCTCACCTCCATTTACCCTTCTTAATACATATTCTCAATCATTATTCATTCATTTACAAACCATTCTGTCCAAGATTAGCATCAAATCCCATTTGGAGAAGACTGTGAAGATCATTGTCCCATACAGGCTGCTGTCATATACAGAAACAAAATGCCTTCATTCCATTCCAACATTTATTTATTTATTTAACAATTACTACCAGTTACCTGAGGATGGATAGGATGCAATGGTGCAGTTGTAGTTGGAATACCGGTCAAGCTCCCATGTGGATAAGAATGGGATGACGAAAATCCAAAACCTGGATTCGAACTACTTCCCCGTGAATGAACCATCTGATATGCACATTTTCATTTCTTACATTTCCAACCAAGACTAAGTAGTAAGAATTAACGATGGTTTCGTTTCCAACAACTTACATCTTTAAACACAAGCCGCTCGATGTCAATGTTCAATTCTGGGTTCACAGTCGCAAGTTTCATTGATAAAAACTGCACAGAAAAAAAAAAAAACATATTGATTACTTCACCATTTCATTCATCTGGACAATGACTTTCAACATCATAAATCTTTGATCAGGCAAAATCACAGAGACAGATATGATTGATCAAATTCAAGCAAAGATTTTTTCAACTTTTCTGATTCAATCACCTTAGATTAAGGTCTTAGTTTTGATCAAAAGGAATGTATCAATTATTTATTTCACTAAAAATACAGTTTTGAGTTACAAGTACACTAGATGGATGAAATGATACAATTTGAGTTACAACCACACTAGATGGATGAAATGATAAATTTGAGTTGGGAGTCAAGGGTCTGAATAGTTAATTTAGGAGCAGGAAAGGAAAGTATTAACATACCTCCACCTGTTGTTGGAGTGACTGAACGTAGTTGATAATCTCATCAAGCATTACTGCTTTTCCAGTGATCTTTAACAAACAGAATCCATCTGGTCAGACAAACAGACTCACAAAAGATAGAATTGAAAGAGAATAATACCTTATTGCAGCCAGGAACAAGTTCTTGAAGCAGTTTCATTCTCTCACTGATCCTTTCTCTCCTAACCTAAATGGAATGGAATGGATGAAATCAAATCCCTATGAATGTGATCATTCAAAAGAGTTTATAATGGACATGGACAAGACTTGTTTATACCCTTTCTGCGAGGCTGTGACTGTTTGTAGCCTGACCTCTTTTGGCTCTCACATGAATGTAGTTGTTGTCTTTAGTAGGACCTCCTCCTCCACTATCAGTAGAATTCTCTTTTGCTTGTTTTCCCATTTGCTTCCCCCTCCAATTGGCTTCAATTCTCTGTTTCTTTTCATCATTTCTTTCTTCTCTTTTACCATTCTACAACCAATCAAGAACCAACAAACTTGTCAAAACACATTCAGACATTTTTAATTTTCTGCAGTGAGGTAAAGGGATACATACAGTAATGGGGTTGAATTGAGGATGAGGGGATTTTCTTTTGTCTCTGCTATTTGGTGATGAAGAACCCCCACATTCAGGATTAAGGTTGCCAAAGGGATTCACCATTTCTGAGAAACTGCCACTTCCAAAAGACCCAACTTTTGGGACTAAATCAGCAATGCCTGAACCAGCAGCAATGCCTGAACCAGATTGGTATTGATGAATAAGACCCACTTGAACTTGATGATTCTCTGGGTAAGCTAGCTCACTGTTAGGAGGAACAGCTACCATTGACGATGACCCACCGAAATTCTCAAGTGGATCCCAACCCGATCCAAAGAGATTACCAGACCCACTGGAAGACTTGTTGTTGAACATGGATCCTGAGCTCATTTCACCTCTATATTGAAAACCCATTTCACTATCATTGTTATCGTCCTCAGAAGAAGCCATTTGTTGTTGTTGTGGTTGTTTATCAATCAACCAACAAGCAGAGGAAAAGAAGAAGAAGAAGAAAAAGTAAAAGTGAAAAAGCAAGTATAGGATCTACGAAAACTTAAGCTAATACCTATCACACTCTTCAAAGGAGAAAACCCCCATTCGACAATTAACAGAAAGAAATACAAGTAAAGTTTAAAAAAGTGGGGGTTTGACCAAAAATAGGCTTAGGGTTACTCATATCTTGCAACACTCAACAAGGAACAAAATGGCAGCTTTACAGTACAAAAGAAACCCCTCTACTTGAGAATCCCATGGACACAAAAGAAAAGAAGGAAATCCAACATAGCAGGGCATAATATCTAACATGGCACCACCTCTAGCTACTTACCTTCAAAATGCCATGATCAATGAGTGTTGGGGGAGGAGATGAAAAAAGTGATTTGTAACAGACAAGAAAGTGTTAACCTTTCAGAGCATAAAGTAGAAGAGAATGGACACTAGTTGTTGCTAAGCTACAGCTCGCTGTGATTACCTAAAAAGAAAGCAGATTCCTTTCTTATTTACCCAATAAAATAAACAAGATTCCCTAACCCAAAAACAAAGAAAGAAAATAGAGTATATCTTGACTGATCCTATATATATATATATATATATGAAAGATGAGCATCAACATTAGAAATCTTCAAGGAGGAATGGAATTCTTAAGAATGGGATTATCAGCAATTCTTTTTTAAAAGAGGTTTGAATTCAAAAAAGGCAAACACAGTAAAGACTTTGCCCTTATTAGAAGACAAAATTTTGGCAAAAGGAATCAATCTCTTTAAAAATTATGCAGAAACTAGAATGGGTAAAAAGATTTTGCCCATTTGATGTTTTTAATAGAGAAAACAGCATCAAATGGTCGATCAGGAATAGCATTTCTACAAGCAATAGCAATAGCAAATAGCAATAGCAACACAGCACGAAGGGGGAATTGCAGACCAAAAACATAAAACAGTTGAAGAAGCATCCAATTCCAACTTTTACATATTAAAGACAAAAGATGGGGCAAGCTAGCAAGCAAGCTAGAGTCTAGAGAAAGACAGGGGAGGGTGTGTGTGGGACCTTGTAGCTTATGATTATTTTTTATAACAAAAATTTATGAAGTTTATCATCATTCATGTTCAAGCAAAGCTTCTTTTCTATATAATCCTTGACAAAAAAGAAAGATAAAAAGATTAGATATTGAAATCTAAATCCCTACACTTAGACCTCATGTTTCCAAGTTGTGACATGAAAGATGTAGTAAAAGTAATCTTCCCTGCTTGCTGTTAACTAATTTATACATCTTGAGTTGTTTCTAAATTTCATTATATTAAAAAACTCTCTAGTCCTTAAATTTTTGTGTCCATCAATTGCGTAAAAGTTACATTTTTATTAGGATGGATGGATTGGAATGCACAATAAATTCAAGTTCGAACTTGCAGGGAAAGGATTTGAACCCCTCCACAAACCTTAGCCGTTGAGTTAGCTTTGAAAAGCCTTCTCCCATGTGATTCCTAGAATACAGGTTCTATGTGATACCGATTAGGGTTTCCGGTAATTATTTGCTCAAAAAATAATAATGTGTCTTTGAATAATTAGTGGAAATATGATCCTATACATGATCATAATATTCGTATATGATCATATACTACGACAAACATGTTTGTGTCTATTATATACATGATCAAATATGAATGTGTATAATATGAGAGACATGTTTGTGTGTATCATATATATGATCACATGTGATCGTACATAAAACCACTTTTGATCCTATATGATCGATGTATTTTGAATCAAAAAAACATTGTTGTATATTTGTGCACAAGATTACATCATAACATGTGATTGTATGTATGATAATAACATTATTATGTAATCAATCACATGTGATCTTGCATAACCTCGTATTAAAAATAAAACATTTAATATACGATTAAAAAAACTATAGTAACATCGGTGTCAAATTAAAGAGAAAAAAGTATTTGTCTATTTTGGTATATTTTGTTTAATTCTAATTTTTAAATATTTTAGGTTTAATTTTTTTTAATAAATGTCTTAAATAACTCAATAGAAGCAAATGACTTTTATTAACTTATTTATTTTTGTAAAATTTTATTTAAGACATTATTTGATTAGTTATGAACTTAATATTCATTTTCTTATGTGGTCATTATTCTCATATCAATTGAAATAAATTAATAAATATATATATATATATATATAGAGAGAGAGAGAGAGAGAGAGAGAGAGAGCCAGTCGTAACTTCGAATATGGAATTCAAAGAGATCAAATAGAAAAGAAAACTCTGAATCATAGAACTCTAATGAAATATACGATCAACCAACATTTATCGAATTTGAAAAAGAGTCAGAAGAGATGGTTAGATCCTCTTATTTCTTTTCTCAAACTGAGCAGGTTCAAGGAAAAACCGCAAAAAAAAGTGATAAATTAAGAAACACACTGGTAACCATTCATCTGGACAGTATGTATCTGTGCATAATGGTAATTTTAAGCAATTTGTTTGACATGCACACGTGCATAACATGCACACATGCATAAAAACCAAGAAACATCTTCAATTATCAGTATGCACATGTGCATACCTTTGAAATGAATGGTTATCATAGTCTTCCTCAGTTTTTTATTTTTTTGAGGTTCTCTCCTGAATCTCCCTCCCTCTTTTTCTCTCTCTTTATATATACATATACATATATAGAGGAGCGATCAAATGAAAACCGCCCTCATTTGTGTAAACCATATAAACCAATCTCATTCATCCATTTTMTTGATCAATGGTCAAGATTAGTTTAGTTTATATTAGGAAGTTAAAAATAAAAAATAGAAAAAAAAATTATTTTTTAATTGGAAAAAGGGCAAAATTGTAAAACCGTCTATATCAATAAATAGGGTATAATCATTAGTTTCTTTAATCAACCCCTTTTTGAATAAGGAAACAATATTTTTAACTATTACATTTAATGAATGAAATGACTTCACCGTATTTTTTTACGATACACAAATAAACGTCTTTCTAGAGGAGCCATTTGTCATTTTCATTTTCTCAGAAGATGGATCCGTTTCAACCTTATTATGAAATGGTTTTACTGTTTGCCTATTAGATGAGACATTTGTCATTTTCATGTTTTCGGTAGATGGATCCGTTTCAATCTAATTATGAAATGGTTTCACTGTCATTATGCAATTATGAAATGGTTTCACTGTTTGCTTATTACACAACATGTTCTTAACAATTATGAAATGGTTTCATTATTTGCTTATTACACAACATCTTCTTAACAAAATGAAACAATTTCATCAATTAGATAATGAAATTTCTTCACTTTCAGCTGATTACATAGACTTTTCCTAACAATATGAAACGGTTTCACTTTCTTGATGAACACATATCATCATGCATCCATGTCATTATGGACCTATTTCATCATGCACCGATTTCTTCATGCACCAATTTCATAATTATTTTCACTTACTCCATGCATCCATTTCAACATGCATGAAACCGGTTTCATGAATATTTTTTTCTTTTATTACTGATTTCATGGATTTCTTAGCCTAATAAATTACGATTTTCAAGAATATTAGCAACAATAAACTTAGACACAATATACCAAAATTCAATTTCTAATATTATAATTTAATTAAATATTTAAATGTTATCATTTATAAAATTTCCTTTATTATGTTACCTTAATTAATATTTATTAATAACTTCTATATTTAATAGGAAACAAAGCAAATGACAAATATATCCTTAATGATTAAATTTAATTAAAATAAAAAGGAATTTTTCTATTGGTCGAAATTAGTTTACACGGTTTATAAGAATTGCATGGTTTTCATTTGAACGTGCCTCTACACACACACACACACACACACACACACATATATATATATATATGGACAAGATCAAATATTAACAAAAGTTTTTGTGTTAACTTTGTTAACCGATCTTGGCCATTCAATATTTCAATAAATGGTTGTGATTAATCATAATAAAAACATATTTTTTTAAATTTAAAATTTCATAAAAATAAGTGAACAAAGTTGAAAAGGGTATTTAGGTAAAAAAAAATTATGTAACTCCATATCATTAATTGAGAGTTAAAAAATCAAAAAATTCTATTATTTTTGTTAATTTATTTTGTTAATTTAAGAACCATATGAATACAGCTATATATATATATACACACACACACACACACACACCATTGTGTCAAATACGAACAAAAAATGACATATATATGAACTTGGACTGCATAGTATTTATGAACACAATATGAACATAATAAGAATAACTGCTATACGAAAAGAAATAAATAAAAAAACAGGTATGAACACAATATGAACAGCTTGTGAACAATAGTTCCTTCATTATAAACACATTCGAGAGTGATCCTTTGTCAATTGGAGTTTTATACATGCATTGCATCCACATCGTTTAAGGTTCACCCCTTGTTCATATATGTTTCTGGTCTTATGTGGTTGTTCACCAATTGTTCATATCGTATAAAATATATGAACATATAACCCCGACGCTATGAACACCGGGTGCAAACACTTACACAAATATAAAGATTTGGTATCAAGCTTAAAAAATAACACTTGTGTTCATATGATAGAAGTAACATGAACACAGTGGTTCATGATTCATAATAGTCGGTAATATGACGATATGAAAATGAGTCATGCATGTACTTCCATTTGAACATGTGAATTAGATACGTATTAATAATTAAAGAAAAAAGTTATCAACGCAATATGAACTACAAAAAACACAACACATCATAATGAACATAATTTCGATTAAAACKAGTCTAATAAAATATTAATCCATTACCAAGACATTTGATTTGGTTAATTTCTTCACTTCCCGAACTCGAACTCTGATTGTCACCATAAACCATTTTAATCTTTTTCAATATTGTCGATTTTTTTTCCAATGCGTTTATCCATAATAGCTTGAACGATACCGAAGATTTTACTACCGTATTTCTTTCACGAATAAAAAACTCATAAAACAATAAAAATGGAAAATCAAGATTAAAAAATAAATAAAAATATCAATATTATAAATGCATATTTATGGGATTTTATGATTTTTTAACTCCCCTTTAATGGTATGTGAGTTACATAGCAAATGATTACCCTTGACATTAAATTGTGAACATAATAGAAACCTAATAGAAGAATGGATTGTGATTGGTTGACATGGTTTGCAAAGTTAACACAAAAACTTTGATTAACATTTGATCTTGTCTATATATATATAGACACACACACAAAGTAACAAGTTTAGATTGCCTTTGACGTGTGTGGCAAAGGTGGTGATTAATGAAGTTACTTAATTGGAGTTTATGATGAATTAGTTATAGTTTATAGAAGTTGGATTTTAATATCCTTTGCATGTTCTCTTAATTTAAGATGACATCACATTTTCATTCTTAAATAAGTAAAAGAGAGGACATGGGAACCT